TGGTGCGGGGAGCCGTCGGCGCAGGCTCTGGCTCTCTGCGCCAGGCTGGGCAGGTGGCTCTTCCGCGCGGCGTTTCCCGTCGAGGCGTGAAACGCGTCCCCGGGAAGCGAGGCCTCCCTGAGCCGGGTCTGCGGAGTAGGAGGTGAGAGAGGGACGCTTCTCTGCAAGCTGATCTCGTGCGTCGCAGCAGGAAACAGGAAACGCGGCTCGGTCATGGGGCTGCATCAAACCGAGCTGCCTGTTCGCCGAGGGGAAGGAAGACGCCTGACCCCCGGGAAGCGAGGCCTCCCTGAGCCGGGTCTGCGGAGTAGGAGGTGAGAGAGGGACGCTTCTCTGCAAGCTGATCTCGTGCGTCGCAGCAGGAAACAGGAAACGCGGCTCGGTCATGGGGCTGCATCAAACCGAGCTGCCTGTTCGCCGAGGGGAAGGAAGACGCCTGACCTGGCTGGCTCAGGAAGCGCGTTGCAAAGGCAGAGGATCACTCCTGAGTCGCTTCGCCCCTCCAGGCAGCGTCCGGGGGGCTCGGCTGGCAGACGCTCCCTTAAAGGATGCTCTTTGTTTTAGGGACGTAGCTGGGATATTACTCTGTGCTTTACTGGCCACCCTTCCCGCGCTCGGCCTGGGGACACAAAACTGGGCTCAGCAGCCCGGTCCGGCTCGGCGCCGGTGCGCGGCTGGGTTTGCTCACGCTCCTCTGCCCACTGCGGCGTCGTGCTGCTGTCGAGCGCAGGGAGAGGAGCCTCCCTTCGGTCAGGGAAGGGTTAAGAGGTCCACCACCAAAAAGGCTGATGTGATGAGAACGCTGGAGGAAGTGCTGGAGGAAGTGCTGCAGGGCCAGCCAGGCCTTGAAAGGACGTGCAGGTCCCAGTCCTTCTGGGTGCCCAGCACCCCTCTGCACGAGGGCTCCCCGCTGCTGGGTGCCCAGGTTGGGGGGTGTTCCCAGCGATGGACAGTGGGTGCCGTTGTGGACGATGCTGGCGGCCACCAGCGGGCGTGCAGGTGTGGTGGCACCCAAGAAAGGCCCTGCTGCCTTTGCTCCAGGGTTGGACTTAGCCCTGGGAGCGCCAGGGAGCTCCCGGTCCCACGGGCTGGGGACTGCCTGAAGCATCCTGCCTCCGTCACCCAGAGCGGGTCAGGTGGACGCAGGGCTGGTCAGCACCCCGCAGGCATGATGGTCACCCACGGAGGTCGTCGAAAGCTAGCTGCAAAGTGAGACTGCAAAGTGGCCCGGGAGCCTTTGTCACCTTCGCAAATTCTCTGACACCAGTTTAATGCAAAGTCTCCTGAACTCTTGCCGCTGCAGGAGAGCTCGAGGCAGGGAGGCTGCACGGCCAGAGGCAGCGCTGGGAGGGTTCCCCTTGCCGTTCCCAGTGAGATCCAGCCTGCAGCAGCAACAGCAAAGCCGGCCCCGAAGCTGCCAGCCCTGGGGATGTCCAGCTCCTCCGTGGTGGTGGCGGCAGCAGTACAACATCGAGATGGCCAGCAGCAACTGGGGACGTCCCTTCTCCAGAGCAGGGAATGGCAAAGGGAGAAGGGAGCCTGGTGCCTCCCTGCGCTCGGGCTTTTTCCTTGAGGAGCCGCGCCGGGTCCGTCGCTGTGCTTTCACGCAGGAAGCGTGAGCAGCCGCGTTGCTTCCCCAGTGAAGGGGGCCAGGCAAGTGTGCCTTCAGCACGGCTCTGTTGGTGTTGCAGGCTGTAGGTAGCACCAGGTCCTTGGTGAGGGAGCTCTGTAGGGTCTCAGTGTGTTTGGCAATCCTGCATCAACGCTTTGTTGTCTTCCCCACTTCTGACCAAAGTGTCGTGCCCCTCCAAAGCAGAGGCATCTCTTGACATGGATTTTTTTCCCCTCAATCCTAGGCCTGGATCGGGGATGTCCGAGCTGGCTCTGTTGCATCCTGCGGGAACCACGTGAAGGCCAGCTGCTGCTGGATAGCATTCAATGCCGAGACGACAGGTAAGGCGTGAGGAGCGAGTGCAGAGCGCGCGTTGGGAAGGCCTGTGCATGTGGCCCGTGGGGTATGTTTGTCCCTGAAGCTAGCACCACGGTCCCCCAAGGGCTGGGACTCAGGGGAACCACACAGATCCCAGGTTTATGGCTGGGTGGCAGATGAAGGGTGACCTCAAGGATGTGGAGGCACAAGGGCAAATAGAGGAGACTTAGGAGGCTTTCCCTGAATTCGCACAAAGATGGTGGCAGTCCTGTGTGTGGAGCAAAGGTCTCAGCTTGGATTGCAAATCTGGGTCCTCCCAGCATTTGTCCCAAGCTGCAGGGGCTTCCTGGGAGCTCTTGCTGTCCCACTTCGGACTTTCTCTCAGGCTCTGAGCAGCCCCAGTGATGGGCAGCTGGTGGGCAGCAGGTGACCTGCTCCTGGGGTGTCTCTTGCAGGTGTGCTGGGCATCGTGCCACTGGAGTGCCAGGATGGAGACAAGAGGACCGTGTCTCAGCTCTGCTGTCACTCAGGTGAGCTGGATATCTGCCGGGCCTAATCCAGCTTGGCCTGTGCCTGTGCAGCCCTCTGCACTGGGGCACCAGGGAGTTGGCTACGAGTCCCACCTCCACAGGAGGCATCTGGCGCAGCTCAGGCTGTGCAGAGTGATTCAGGTGCTGATTTTCGGCTATGACTCAGCCATCACTGTGCGGTATTGTGCCAGGTTGTGTTTTTCCCAAACTAGAGGCTGGGTGAGCTGGTAGAGTCCCGAGGGACCCTGACGTGTCTCACTTCTGTGTGACCCCTGCTGAGTTTGGAGCTTTGGAGCCAAGAGCTGTGACTCCCACCTTGCACAAGGACCCTCTCCCGATGCCCTGGCTCTTAGCATCAGAGCAAGGGGTTCGGACATCCTCCACATACAATGTCTGGGCAGCTCAGTGAGCTGGGGACAACCGAGGTGCTGCTTAGCAGGAGGCTTTTAGACCCTCGGTGGCAGCCGGCCACACTGAACAGGCAGGGCTGTGCAAGGCTGGACTACCGCTAAAGAGCTGAATTGATCCAGGTCCCTTCATCGATAGAGCTGCAGAGGTCTGGGCACGTAGCTCTCAAGATCTTGCAGAGCTCGTGTTCTTCCTTCAGCGCACCCTCCCCGTGTTACTCGTTGCACGCCCTACAATTCCCAGCACAAAATGCGAACAGAGCCAGCCAGCGGGAAATGTGCCCAGGGAGCGTAATCCTAGCCCGGCATTAACTCGAGCATCCTGCACAAAGGCGCTTGAAAGAGATCCGATGAATAGCAGCAACAGAGCGGCCCTGGGGCGGGCGGCCTCGGCGGAGGC